CTACTCTATGTTATTGTAAGAAAACTCCCTACAAAAAAAAAAATCAAAAAGAATTTGACACATTTGGGTGATAATTTTGAGAAAACGGGAAAATGTTAAAAAAGAAAAGAAAAAAACTAAAACAGACATTTATCGTCGATTAATGTTAATTCATATTGCTTCAATGTATGTTTGCTTCCTAAGAATACGCAATTTCTCATTTTCTCTCTTTCTACACACACACAGACAGACACAGGCGCGCACATACACGCGAACACGCACATCTATTCCATTCTGTTAATCATCCATCTATCTATCTATCTATCTATCTATCTATCTATATATATATATATATATATATATATATATATATATATATATATATATATATATATATATATATGTATATATATATCATTCTGTTCATCTATCTAATAAAGTTTATCTCTGATTCAGTTCATCATCATCATCATCTATATATATCTCTACATATATGTATGTACATATATATATATGTATAAATATATATATATATATATATAGGTGTGCATTCATTCATCTATTTATCTATTCATCTATCTATCTATATATATATATATATATATATATATATATATATATATATATATATATATATGAAACGATTAATCTTATAGCAATGTATCTTAGTAGTGTGCGTTCTTTATTAGATATTAAAATTTAAGCAAAATCTCAAAAATATTGAGTAAAACGGGAGAGGAAGGCATATATTTTTCGACAATAATGTGAAATCAAATTACCTTGCAACAATATATATATATATATATATATATATATATATATATAAAAACACACACACACACACATATATATATATACACACACACACACACACACATATATATATATATACACACACACACACACACACACACACACACATATATATATATATATATATATATATATAGTCATCCGTAGACAGACTGTTTCGCTGTATCACATCTCTTTAGTGTAGCAAACGTTCGATTGCTTCAAGCTGGGATCGAAACCCGACTGATTTGATATCATACTTTAGGATATATATATATATATATATACACTAGATATTCGTATATAACTATATATATATAAATATACGTGTACATATATATATATATATATATATATATATATATATATATTTATATATGGAGAAAGATGGGTGTACTTCTGTTACATAAACTGATATAGACATTTAAACAATGTACATATGCATATAACTGCTCGACATATACACATGCATGCACATACGCATATATGCACACACACGAACATACACAATCACATAGAGACAGAAATATATAAAATGTGTTTGGTTGTACGAAATGTTTTTAATATTAAATGTTTACAATCAGTTGCGCATGCGCACAAGCGAACCGATAAATCGGAACCATCTTCATTTTGTTACTTTTGCTTCCATGATATCTACAATGTTCACTGAAATTTCTGTGCGCGATCTAGTTGGATGTGTGTTTTTTGTTTTGTTTTCTGTTTTTTCTTTGATTTTTTTTTAAAGAAACATATCCGAACAAATATAGTGTCGGTTCTTTGAATGATGAATTGTTTAAATATTGTAAGAAAGATTGGCGAATCTATATGCACCGGAACTTAATGTTTTTCTCCGGTATGTAAACGTTTTAAAAATGTTATATTGCAAAACATAAAAATTTTAATAATATCCTTTCGTTTTGAATAACACATCTATCTATCTATCTATCTATCTTTCTATGTATTCATATCTAACGATGTATCAACATATGTATCTATCTATCTCATTCCTCGCATCATCTATTTAACTCATTCTTTTTATCTATCTATCTATCTATCTATCTATCTATCTATCTATCTATCTCATTCTCTACTTGAAAATTGAGTGTAGATTGTAGAAATTCTCCATAGATATTATTGTCCTAAGCGCTTTCGGTTATTCATCTGCCATTTGCAAGGTGTCCATTTTAAGCGTATTTATTGCTTAACAATGCTTAAAAGTAAAAAAAGAAAAGAAAAGGAAATAGGAATATTCAATGAAATTTTTCCTTTTCTGTCACATTCTACGAGACATGTATAAAGGAATGATTGCTACCTAAATATAAAATACGCATTCACACACACACACACACACACACACACACACACACACACACACACACACACACACACATATATATATATATATATATATATATATATATATATATATATATATATAACGATAAAAAATAATTGTAATGCCTACTATAAAAATAATTGTAATGCCTACTATAATTATGGAAAATCAGGTCCAATATCTAACAGTGTCAAACTATTCCATGTATAAACGCAATCTTCAGGTAAGAAATCGATACATATAGATTAATATAGATATACGAATATTGTCTTTTTGCAGATGTTTTTGGTGTTCCATCTGAAGTTACACATACACACACATAAATATATGTTGGTGTTACACCTATATGATTGACATATATATTTATATATATATATATATATATATATATATATATATGTGTGTGTGTGTGTGTGTCTCACACTCTATATCTATCTCCCTCCATATATATACATATATATATATATACACACAATTATTTGTGAAGTTTTGGTATTTTTATTATATATATATATATATATATATATAGTCATGCTGATGATCTGTGATACAGAAACATTTTTTCGGTGTATGACAATATATATATATATATATATATATATATATATATATATATATATATATATATATATATATATATATATATATATATATATATATGCAAATGTGTTCGTATGTGTGTGCATGTGTATAGAAATATGCATTTATTTGTTAAACA